TTCAATTAAAATGAGAATAGTGAAAATTTATTGTATCGTACAACAAATTTAATATCGTAACAACGGAAATTTTGATGTTTTTTCAAAATCGGTCAGCTTTAGCTAAGACGTATTTATCATTATGTAAGTTTGGATGCATTCACCAGAGAAAACAATGCTGTTCTCCTAGATCGTAAACTGAATCCTACACAATCGTTTGTCCCGTCTCATCTGACTCAATACCTGCTTCAGGTACAAACTGTGTAGCCGGACACGTCAGTGGCTCCACAATGAGTGGATACGTCAGGCAGATGTTAGCATCGTAACACCAGCCTCCTTTTCATTTGAACTTTGACCAAATGTCAGAACCCTAATGTGTTCAATTCATTAATGTAAGTAAGGAGAAAGCACCAAACCCTCATATTTGAGATGCTACTGAACTCTTAAATGTTGGAAACATGACGTAGTTTCTGACGATTGCTTCATTTCCAAATGTACTCATCTGTCAATTGTTCCTTGAGAAATCGTTTGAGGTAGGTGGTCTTTTCATGTTCCTCTCATTAAAAGTCAAAAGATAATAAATATTCTTATCGCACGATGTAAAGAAAAGCAGCGATTCCCCACATTTAAGAAATTGTAATTTCCGGTTCAATAGATTTATTGATTAATAGTTTTAGCACTGCAAAATGCCGTGAAATACAAGAGGCACTTTGCACACATGGATACAAGCGCATTGATTATTGGCGGGAGCGCCACTTGAATTAGCAGATTGTACCACAACACCAGCGATAGACGTTAACACTCCTGCTCCCACCACGGCCGTCTGATCTGTTACGGCCTGTGCATCGTTACAGCCGTAACACGCTGCAATAGTTACGCCTCCTCTCTGACTCACGGACACCGCCGTTGTCTGCGCGCGGCTGTAGGCCTTTTAGTCCGCTAACGGAACTCTTGGTTATGTACATTGTGAAACAGGACGTGTTTCAATAGCGATAGCGATGCAGTCACCGTGCAAAGCCTGTGCTGCTCCCAGGTGTGTGTGTGTGTGTGTGTGTGTGTGTGTTGGTAGAACGCACACATGTCGAGCTATTTTCCTCACGCACTGCCGTGGGTAACACGCAGGTGAACGGGAGGGTTGTCTTTTCATTGACTGAAGCGGCTCACTCGCTGACACCGTGCCCTCCGTATCAGCTTCCTCTCAGCTCGCGGGGGAAGGAATGCGGTTATGAGTTTCCTCCTCGCTGATTGCGTGAGCGACTCGAGAGAAGCACAGAGCGCACAGATCTTTTTTGACTTGTCTGCCTGGCAGTCGGCTTGCCTGCGTGGCCTTGGGTATTTCCCCTCTTTCCTTCTCTGCCCCCCTCCCCTCTCCCCCCGTCACCCCCCCCCTGTCTGTCACTGGCTTTACATGAGAGCCATATTGTTACAAACTCCTTACCTGGAAGCGTCGTGCGAGGAAAGGAAAACAATAACCTGGAAGTTCCGTTCCTTCTCCGCCACACAGACGGGAAGCGACGTCCAACATGTGACATGTGGCGTGCACTCTGGGTTAGATAGCCACACGCGAGAGTGGAGATGACGCATAGAACATGATGTAGTATGCTTCAAGAAGTCTTGGAAATATGTCGAGTGATGACTGAGATTCTCACTCTGTTAGTTTAACCCTTCGGCCACTGGGCCAGTTCAGTGAAACGACACTGTGGGGGGGGGGATCTGATAAGAAGAAGACCGTTTAGAACAAGAGCTGGCATAACGGAGGTATGCTGAGGCGGCGATACGCACACTCAAAAGACATGCGGAGTGGCGTTCAGGCAGTAGCACTACTCTCTGTGGTGAGAATACACTACGATACTTTGACTGACTGCAGTAATCCCATTCTAGAGAGAACGAGTCCTGAAACCTGGAAATGAGTCAGCGTTTTAGCACATCCGGTTCTGTTCTTTAGAAGTCCATGTGTTGTGTTTTTTTTAATGTGTTTTTGGATAGGTGCCTGAAATGAGGTCGGTGGTTAACGCGAGCTTAAAATATGTTAATGTTTTTCTCTACGACATAGAATACGTCAGTAAATACCCCCCCCCCCCCCCCTCGCTCATGAGTCTCAGCTTTGTGAATATGTCTAAATATGACAGGAATCCTGAGCCGCCACTCCCACAGGCCTAGGTGTCATGCCACTGTTAATGAGAAAGATAACAGGTTTCCTGCTGCGTGTTTGTCAGTGTTCATTTTGATACAGATTTTAAATTTAGTTTTGGTCGCTTACTGAAAGTAGTAATCACATTTTAGTCAATTTGTTTAGTTTAAGTCGAGATTTAGTTTTAAAATCTAGTCGATGTTTTAGTGATCATGTTCTTTTTTAGTAATGGATTCTATTGAAGGTATTTGTCCTGGCCTTCCTTGTGTTCAGCCATCTAGGCTGTGAGTGTGTTCCTGACGTACCGTACTTCTTTCATTACATAAGCACGTTCAGTGTCTGATAACCAATGATCATATATATTACTTGACAAAGCACAGACCTGAGGTTTTCTGCTAAATTGGTCGTCATTTGTCACTCAGTCGAACTCGTTATTCGATGACTCAGCAGTTACAAAAGTGTATGAAGAGCGTCGTTAAGGCAGATGAGCATCATCATTATCTTGCTATCATTATTTCTCGTGAATGTGCCGCTGATGTTTGGCATGCACGCAGCAAGCTGGAGAGGGAAACTGTTGTTTTTGAAAGGCCAAACGGCAACAAATTGAAGCGGAATATTTCGTTGGATGAAAACACGTTGTGTATTGTAATTACCCATGTAGCCCAGAAAGAAAGATGTCTGCTCCCGTTAGCAAAAAAAACAGAGGCAATTCTTTGGTTTTAAACCAAACCAGAACATAAACAAGTCGGGACTAAAGGAAACACCACAAAATAGAAAATATTTCTACGGTGTCGGTAATATCCCATCGTGGTTGTCTGAAGACCCCAGAGCACCTCGTCGTATCTCATCTCGCTCTCGTGCCGGCTTTTGACTCTCGCTCTGCTGCCATCATCTGCTCGACAGCACACCATTTAGTGAATGCACTTTTGGCCACGGCTCTCAGCTTTTTGACCTATTTCTGCATTTGTGTCGGAACAAAGAACAAATCTTGCAGCGTGTTTGTGGCTGCTGCTGCTGCTGCTGGGGCCCCATGATGTTGTTTTTGATCTTATATTGTTCAATAATGTGTTCAGGAATCGATTATAAATTAACGTCGCATCAGCGACTCCCTCTGAGTGCTCTGCTTGTGCGACACCAGGAATGGGATGAAAGCTTCACTTTGTACCGTTTGTACAGTCTGACCATGGATGACGAGCTGACCCGCTGACCCACATCCACATGATGCATCAACAGCCAGTGAGCTTCCTGCTCTACCAGTGAAAGCTGTTGGCTTTAAACACACAGAATTATTTAATTAAAGTGGACACATCATGAAAAAAACGAACTTTTTCAGTGCTTGATCTGAAAACATGTGATTCAACAAGCCAATCACATTTGGCTCCCCTTCCTATGGCACTAGAATATATTCCCCCCCCACCATCTGAATATCTCCACCCACCACTACCTGCGCCATACATTTTTTTTCCGGGAGACATGCTTAAAGAGACTGAGGGTGAATACAGGTATATTCAGACAGACAATGTGAGAAAAATTGTGTTTTTTATGCGTCCATGCCGGCCAGAGGAATTATGTTTTCGGAGTTGTCCGTCCGTGATATGCTAACTATGGCAATTTCACACAATTCTCCAATAAGGATAAAATGAGTGCTGACATTTTGGACAAACGTGGATGTAAACCGCAACCTGACAGGTCGACGGAGGCAATACGAGGTGGTAGTTCCACTTTAAGCATTAAAGTGTGTAAACATGTTCTAGCAGAAACCCAAATATGTGAAACTGAAAGTGAGCATATGTCTCCTTTAACATCTTATTTGCATTCAAAAGCACATGCAATGTACTTACTTTGGCTGATAAAGCTAAATATGTAGCCAGTATGAACATTGTAGCTGTTCCTGGGCCAGTGGCCAGCACCGAATAAACAAAGTAACATCAGTTAAGAACCTCAGAGTAAACCCTGATTAAAGGCCCGTATGGGATTTGACCTTGGCAGTCCAGGTCACTCGCAGGCCCTTTTATTCCTCATGAAAAGTCTCAGTTTTACCTCCTAATTCAATCAAACTATTTGTGTCCCAAAAAAAATCCCAAACACGATGCATAAGCAAGTGTACAGCAGTGTGATTAGAGGGGACGTGAGTGACGCCGAGTTGTGTTTGTGCTGTTGCAGAGAGTCCCTCTGCTCCACATCCAGTCGTCTGGAAGATGCCCCATCAGCTCAGCGGAGCGGGACTCCTGCCCGTCGGTGTCGCCTCTTGTTCTGTTTACTACAGCAGACTGTTTATCTCTTCCTGTGGCTCCACGGACAGATGGGCCCAAATTACTGTTAGGAAGGGGTGGGGGTGGGGGGCCTCGGCCCAGTCGTTTAATTGTGTACGTCTCAACTTGTGCTGTGTGATTCATGTGTCTAGACACAGTGTGCTGCTTAGGGCTGACTGCTTCGTAAGCTCGGCCTTGCTCACAGGACTGGACCCATTACTGACGGAGTGTGTGTCTTTTGTATGTGGCTTTACGACTGCAGCAGCATGCTACTTCACTAGTCCACAGGGTGCAAGGACCTTTTATTGTCATTATGCAACACAGGGATGCACAACGAGATTCAGTTGGAGCCCATTAGTGGCTCAACAAACACAGTAGTGCATTCCTGTAGAGCAGTTTTACAATTTGCGTCTTCAGGAATGTAAACGGCAGTAACAATTCTCTGGGCAGACAACATGGCCGACATCTTCACATTAAACACACAGGAGGAAAACATTGACCATCAACTGTGACTGTGTTTGAGCACCAAGCATCATGATGTAAACACAGAGTCCTCCTCCTCTGGTCCACCAGAGTCCTGCTCTCTGTCCTGCTGTCCGCCCGTCAAGTGCAGCTTGATCCTGGACCACGATGGATCCAGGTTTCTGTGAAGATGTGGGCTCAACAGTCACCGACCTCTCGCTGCTTTCACCCATCTTATTTTTCTGCGACCGGACGTCAGACAGCCAGCGGCAGGCTGGGTAGTGGAGCAGCCTCAGCTCCTATAGCTGGGTTAGCTTATCTTCCATCTCTGCTCTCCTCCCTGGGCCAGTTTGGTGGCAATTGTTCCGGCAGGTCTGGCTGGTTGGTCCGCCCTGGCCGGTGATCTTCTCAAAGTCTGCTGCACTTAATACCATCCCCACGCCTCCTTTTCAGATGTTAATGAATGTGTTCTGTCATATGCCATTTAGTGATAAACACAAAAAAAAACACCAAATAAAGACAAAAATGTAGCAGAATTCACAGAAGCTACGGGCTGCAGCATGTCCAAAAAAACCTACAAGTGTCCAAAAAGAAAAAATCATGAAGAAATTTCGACACTTCTGTAGTTCTTTGGGGTCACGGTGCAACAGATCGCGTTTTATCCGTGATCCGATTTGTGGCTCAAAACAGCGACACAATCCGAAACAGTGAATTTTGTGTCCCTGCTAACTCAGAAGTACAACCAGGAAGCTCATGTGAACAGTTTTCCGACTCAGAGACTCGTAATGACGGTGTAAACGATGTGCCGCCATGGGACATTATGTAGGAAGAATCGGTGATTGGTATCTGCTCCATCAGCTCACTCTGACCACATGGTTTATATGTGGCATTACTGTGATCAGCATGAGCCCTAAAACGCATGATTGGTGCATCCACTGGACTTCCACAGCATTTTCTGAAATAATGTAACCGCTGAATATTTAGTGTGTTTGACCCTCTCGCTTTTTTTACTCCAGGCAGCTATACTAGGCAGCCCCCTCCCCCCTCTAGAGCCGCTGCTGCTCTTTCCTTATCCTCTTTTCAGTCTTTCGGCGTTTGATGTAGTGGAGAAAGCTGCTCTGAGATCATTGGATGTGGGCCCGGGCTGCTGTAGCGTTGAGGCCAAGGTCGGTAATGTCAGAGGGGAGAGCCGGCGGTGGGAACGGCCAAGTTCAACAGCAGTTAATCTTGTGCTGCTGGACCAATGTAGCTGTGGTGCTGAATGACTTTGCCCAGGTGTGCAATTTTTTGTGTGCGTGCGTGTGTGTACGTGCACCCTTCTTGTACTTGTTTTGGCTGTGCTCTGTGTGAAGTCGGCCGTGCCAGTGGAGCGTCTCTCCGCCGTGAGTCATGTGTTTTCAAAGGGCCAGACCGCGCGGTGAAATACCTGACTACCAGTTAGTCCTCTGCAGCCCTGCTGTTATTTTTAGAGGCTGCTCAACCTGCTGCTCTGGAAGCAGTCAGGAGACCTGCCAAAACGTCCCTCGCCTCTGTCTCTCTCACTCGCTGTTCTTGTGATCAGAAACGTATTCGAGCCGCTCGGAATATTACGCGCAGTGTGTACACGGATACTTGAGTACCTGTTTGAATTGCAAAGACCTCCACCTGGACTCGAGGAGGAACTGAATGGATGAATTTGGTGGTCAAAGGTCACTGTGACCTCACTTCCATCCCATTCTGCTGATAACTCAGGAACGTCCACTCGCACTCGAGGTAAAAGCGATTTATAATTGGGTGGTCAAAGGTCCCTGTGACCTCACAAAACAGGTTTTTGGCCATAGCTCAAGAACCTGTATGCTAATTATGACAATTCAGACAAATGTTGAATGTTGTGACTACTGCAGGCTATTCTAACTACTGAACTGCCCTGGAGGTTTCTATACAAACTGCCAAAATTACAAAAGTTATTACAACTATTATGTTTTATCGCTCTGGAATTAATGAGTAAAGATGTCATTTTGATATTCAGTTATTAACTTGTTTCTCTTATCGCCCCCTCAAACCCTTATTCTCTTCCTGCTACCCCCCCCCCGTGCCGACTTCCTCTCTTTCTTCCACCATTCTCTCCCCGAGCAGAGGTCGTGGCGGAGTACGATTACGACGCGCTCCACGAGGACGAGCTGACCCTGCGGCCGGGCGACGTCATCAAGAACGTGCGCTACATTGAGGAGGACGGCTGGATGGAGGGGGACCTCAACGGGAAAAGGGGCCTCTTCCCCGACAACTTTGTTAAGGTGAGAGGAAGACTCAATCACAATTGACTCTTCACTAGAGCTGACCTCGCACTTCCTCTGAGGTTGCAAACGCTGTGTTTCCATCAGAGATGATCTCATTGAAGCTGCGAGGGCTGTCACATCTGTGTTGGAGATGTGTGGGCTGATTTCTTAGAGTCACATCTGGATTTGTTGGATCTTTGTTGAATCCTGTAGACGTTTTTCTTTGCAGGAAATGACAGTAAAAAAGAGCATATGAGCAGGTGTTAAAGTGCACGGTATGGGGACGACTCGATTTCCTTCAAAAGCTGTTGAAACTGCTGTGCTTGTATCCGACTCTGTGTACTTAGTCAGTTCATCAAGTCCATTAAAAAGTGTGAGACAGCGATCCCACAGTAAAAACAAGCCCTGAGTCGTGACTGTACTAGACACCTCGTGGCTGTGCGCTCCCCTCTAGTAGTACTAATAATGCAGTTATCTCTTCATAAATATACTCATCAGAAGCATTAAAGTGCTGCATTAATGTCTGTAATATCATTTTCCCACGTTGGTCCTGATGATGCAGGATGATAATCTCCAAAACTGTCCAATCAAACGAGTTACCCGTCAGTCTCCATAACTTCATGTTTACTCCTCCTGGCTGTGTTTGAGAGAAGTCAGTGTGAACAGGAACCAGAACTAAAAGAAGGCGGGTCTAGAGTTTGCAGTGTCAGGCCCGAGGAGGCCGTTTGACCGATGGTTGTTGTGCTTTTGGTTGGATGAAGGATGTACGCTGATTGACCGTAAAAAGAGGTTATAGTCCAGCCTTTATTGATATCAGATTTGATGGACTATTTAAAAGCAGCACTTAATGGATCCATTAAGTCCCGATAGCGCGGGACTGAAAGCATGAGTTAGCGCAGTGTGTCCTCTCTGTCCCTGCAGGAAGCTCTTTGCTTGTCGATAAGGAGCATTTGTTTTCCGATTAACACAGAGCTGCGTTATTGTCGTCCATTCATCGTGGTTAGAAGAAAAACAATCCTGATTGTCATCGACGATGAGGATTTTTGAACGAGGAACACGCATTTTACTCTTAGAATTAGAGCTGGACAATATAGTGAATTCATTCAAATGTGTAAATCAAGTTATTACAATGTGCACAAAAAGGTTATTTTTAGCCAAAAAGTAACTTAAATGAAAACTGGTGACATTAGGCGACTTGAGACTCGACAGTCCTTTGAAAGGAATACTTCATTTATCACTAATGCCTTACTGTTTAAATGTGTTCATGCTGAAGTAAATATTATGGTTTTATCAAATATGCATGCGTTTGGGAAGTAGTGAGCATAGGACTGGATAAACGAGTTATGTGAGATTTTTTACATACTGATGTTTTGCAATAGTTTTGCTGCTGCTGCTGCTGCTTCAATTTATTAAGACATTTCTCGTTTTTTTAAATAATTTTTTTCCGTTCCCTGCGGAGGAATTGATGTCGTGAAGGAGTGGTAATCTCGTTTTTTTATGGCTGGTTATTTTACATTCACGAGTGCATATAATGTATACAAAAAAACAAACATTTTAATGTCCTGTGTAAACTGAAGGCTTTAATGGTTTAGGGTTTGCTCGTCCCCACAAAATGATCCAATATATGAAGAAATCAGAATGATTGAAACGTTTGCAGAGACGTCATCTTAGTGAAAAACAGGATCAAGAAGTTAAAAATACGTTGGACATTCCAACAGGTTTCTCTTTCTTCATCGCTCTCTTCTGTTCTTGAATGTGCAGTGGCGACGGAGCTTCTCCCAGCTATCACGCTGCTAGCTGTCCCGTCTATAACGTTACCCAGCATGCCGTTTTGGGCGGTGTAAATTCTTAAATGCACGCTCATTAGTATGCGTCACAAATTGTTGTATGCCCTGGCGTTTACCCTGTTAACCCTCTGAAACCCAAGCAGTCACATTCTACTCTGACCTTGACTTTCACTGCAATAAGTGCTGCACCTCTGTGGAAACGGCACACTCATGGCTAGAAGGAGAGAAGACACACATGTCGCTGATGAGCTCAGAATGTAATGTTTTTTACAGGATCTGGTTAAAGCAAAAGGTTTACTTGTGGCGAGATTTTAAATGAGACATGTAGAATAGCATGTTTTTGATGAAATATCACGATTTTAAGCTTCGTTTTGGTTGCTTTTTTTCTGACTGAAGCTTTTGTCGCACATGCCGCGTTTAAGGACCGTCGGAAAGATGAAAATCTGACGATAATGACGTTTCTTTTTTCCATGCTTCTGGCTGTGATAAACGTTGTAGTTTTACTGATTGTTTAAAGGAAACATGCTTTCAAACCCGCCGGTGGTTTTTCGTGTTCAGAGGGTTAAAGAGAGCTGCTTGTTGGTTATTAGCTGAGTGAGAAGGGTACGCAGTTGAGTCCCCTCTTGATGCCTACCAGCAGCAGCAGTCAACATCCTATTGATATAAAAATTCCATTTAAATATATTATACATATCTAAATGTAATATCCAATTTGTAATCTCAGTTTGCGGCTGATGCGGTCACACAGTTGACTCTGCAGCTGTAGACTGAGACACGCTATCAGTCGAGTCATCTCTCATTATGACTCGGTAGTACACTCGATGCACCTGAGCGCTGTAAAATCTGGTTTTCTGGGCGAGGTATTTACACAGCGATACAAAGTGAAATGAGTCACTACAGAGCAGTTAGCTTATCTTCCCGCCGCGCATGCCTTTATGGTCCTAATCCTTCGTAGTGAGATAAGTAATCTGCTAAACGGCCTGGCCCAGTCACTCGGATAGTTAATCCTTTAAAGATCCTGCTGCCCGGCTGAACTTTGCCCCCCACGACGTCGTCCCTCTTCCTGCTTCTTTTTTAAATGCCGTCATAGCTGCCGAGAGGGGGAGGACATGAAACATGTCGGGGGAGGAGATGGTAAGGAGCGCTTCATTGTGCTAACTAATTGACTTGAATGTGTCCCTGGTTCCTTGAAATGACTGTAATTGATGGAAAAGATTGTCATGAAGATGACGTGATTTTTGTGGGGTTTAGGTGTTCAGGTCCGTGTGTACGAGCAGTGTTTTTGGGGGATCGGTTCTGACTGTCTGGATATAAGAAACATGTTGAGACCTGCTGAACATTTGAAATCTTAAAAAAGTATTTATAGTGCACCACAAAAACGTTCATATTGATGGATTATTTCTATATGTGGGAACAATCATGCTCTTAAGTTTTGGAACTACAGTTGCCATTATAAACCGGAAATGTTAATAGGAACAGGAAGCTTTTCTTTATAGGAAAAGCACCCTCGCCTGGTGCATTTCCTCCGCAGTGGTGAGCAGTTTGCTTCAGAAAGTCCCGCATTCCAAATGTTGGCATCAAAATACACTTAAAGTCCCAAATGTGAAAGTATACTCACTCTGCAGAATGAGCCATTTCAGAATAATGTATTGGATTATAATTATTCATGCGTTCATCACAATATATACTTAACGATCATGTACTACTTAAAAGGAGGCCCATGTCACACATGTCGGGTTTTATTGCGTCTTCAAAATGATCGATGTAGCAGAGGGCTCAAAAGCGAGACCGACATGTCATGTGACGAGAAACAGCCATTCACAGCTCGCATACATCTTTTTCTTTCAGTCTGAAATATATTCTATATATCCGTAAATATATTGAGGAGAAGTTGACTTTATTGCTCTGAGCTTTACGGTCTTTATTCACCCAGTTTGTCCAAAGACGTCACAACATCCGGCTGAAAGGTGAGGGATTTACATAGCTGGACATCCATATATCCATATCCATATATTCTCTTTGTTTTGACTTAGTTTAGTCAGCGAAGCTTTCTGCTAACTTAAAACAACTTCACCTTCATCGCAGCGCGCAGGTTCTGGTTGCTTAGTAATGGCAGGCTAGACAAAGCGGCAACCTTGGGTTCTCCCGAGTGAAGCCGATGCGGAAGTGTCTTGAAACTTTCATTGTCTCAACTGACCATCAGGGGGCGACTCCTCTGGTTGTAGCAGTCTATGAGAAAATGACTCCACTTCTCTCTTGATTTGTTACCTCAGTAAACATGAGTTTATGGTCTCTAGCTTCAAGTCTTCTTCAATACAGCATGATGTTCATTTAGTAAATGATGGTCCATTTAGAGTCAAACAGACTATAAAGTAAAGTATGCTATAGGGCGGGGCTTACTGTGATTGACAGGTTGCTACCAGAGACGTATACGGCGTCTCTACGTCACTCCTCCACATTCCAAATATAGTAACTTCTGTTCATTGGTTGCGGAAAAACAACATGGTGACGGCCTTAATACAAGATCGCGACATTGAAATGGCCAAACTCGAGGCTTCAAAACGGCAGCCCACAAACAAATGGGTGACGTCACCATGACTACGTCCACTTCTTGTTTACAGTCTATGGTCTTGACATGAGCGCAACCTCCCAAGCACCTTGAATAAAAGGATGAAAGGAGCACGGCTGGTGTTTTCCACGCATTTTCATACGCAACATGTGAACGGACACTTACACACATTTTTATTTTGTATTAAGAATCTGAATCTGCAAAGTAGCTAATATCGTCAAAAAAAGGTATTAAGGTAAAAAGTAATTATTCACGTCTAAGATGTAGCAGAGTAGAAGTATAAAGTTACATAAAATGGAAATACTCAAGTAAAGTACAAGAACATATTATTTACAGTGACGAGCACAAAGATCTTAGATCGATCCTAATTTTGCTTTCAATTTAATCTAAAAATGTTTGTCTTCTGGGGGAGCATGAGATGATTTGTGCCGATGATGTGCAGCCATTCATTGTGCAGACAGCAGTGATTCACGTCTACAATATCTCAAAGTGGTACCCAGGTCTGTTATAGGGATCATTGCCGATTCGCTCCTCATGATTATAAATAACTGTTGCACTGCCATGATGATAGGTTCTTTGCAGATGACATCACACATCGGCGTGCTTTCCAGATGGAGGGCAGGCAACTGGAGGCAGGTTCAACACTGCAGCAGTAATGCCTCTTGTAGGCGCTGTTTACAGCTGTTCCAACCAATCAAATCGGGGAAAAAACAACGGCTGCTTTTGAGTCCCGCAAGTAGTTGTACACAAATGTGAGCAGTTTAAAAAAAGACAGAGATCAAAAACCTCCGTCTAAAGTCTGGAGGAGCGGAGTGATTTTGCTAACTAGCTAAAACTGTGAAACACCTGCTACAGATCAGACACCAAAGGGTGATAATATCACAGATGTGTCTGGCTATGTTTCCGGCAATATCACCACCAAGGTCTGTGTTTTTTTTGTCGTCGTCTTGTTCATTGTTTTCATGCAGGAGAAAGCTAGTTCGCTATCTACCGGGGGATTTGTTTTTAGCGATGCTAGCTACCCGGGCAAAACCAAGACGGCTACTCTGGTCCCGAGGTTGTGGACTAAACTGCTCACAAAATAGTTGTAAGCCTTTAGACTCTTGTCCATGGAGATCTTGCGGGCCGAGTCCTAGAACACGCAGGACAGACTGGCAGCTGTTGGCGTCACCTCTTCAGTGAAGAGCCCAGTGTTTCTTGTAATTTCTATCGTGTTGGCCACTTCAACCATGAGACCTGTCAAAGTTGTCAGGGAAGACAAAAGGTCCTTTTGTTTTATGAGTGTGCAGGACGAGGAGATGATGCCTGTAGTTAATGTTCAATCTAATTAACACCCCCACGTGTGTGTGTGGATATATGTGGCAATGTGAAGCTCTCAGCAGAGCTCCACTCACACAAACTACACTCGCACACGTTACGCTTTCCTCTCTCCGTGTCCTCGTCTCTCTGTGGAAGCTGTTTTTACTGTAGTCTGTTTCTGCCTCTGTAATTGATGGTATCTTACTGTGATGTACTCTTATAGAGGGTGTCCAGAGAATACCCTCAATATATCCAGGGTATACAGGGATCAAGCATTTTTATTGGCCAATCGGTAAGTGGTTCCCTAGACAAAAAGCCAGTGGGATTTATTACCACTGGGTTTTGGATTATTGCAGGAAATCAGCTCTGTGGCCCCCATATTTTTGTTCAGTGGGATACTCTCCACAGATGAACATCATTATTTTTATTTTTGAAGGGTGAATGCAATCGTGTGGAGTAAAAAGCTAACGCTAGGCTATGAACCAACTACACTACAAGGAGGACTAGTTATTTAGCCGCTTGTTACCAACTGCCTTTTTTAAGACTCATAAAAGCTTGAAAATTCCAGAGAGGGGGATCTACTGATTGTGTTTTATAGTGTAGAACGCAATCTCTTAAGCACGGACCTTATTCCAGACACTAAACCAAAAACCCATTTTTTAAAAAAAAACAAAAAAAAACATGGACTTTGAGACAAGGGAACCGGAAGTGCAAAAATTGCTGACTCATTTACAGGTTTTTTGGACACATTCCTGAAGCACTCTATTCTGTTGCTTTTCCTCTCATGCCTGTTCTCACACACACACAGCTGGACTTCCTCTCCCGTGGAAGAGCGAAGTCGGCGTGTGCGAACCAGGAAGTGGATGGTGAACTGGTTAATCGTCCAGCTAAACACACACACACACACTTAGTTGCTGTTCCTCTGAGCTCCCAGTGTGACGTTTCTTATTTTTAATGACTGAAAACAGCGGAGCACCAGACCAGTCCCTCCGTGTGGGTGTGTTTGAGTGATAACGATGATCATTTTCTCTATACAGGAAGTTTTCCCTTCTGTTTCAGTAATACTGACTTGTTGGGCCTGTTTGTGGGCCTTGGAGCCATTGGCAGGAAAAGCCTCTGTCACCTTTTGACTGGACTCTACACAGAGTGACCCATCTGAGGATCGTTGTATACGCTCGTGGTCATACGCCGCGGCCCTTTAACCTAAAAGCATGTTTGTCTTTTTAAACAATCGCTCAAACTACACCCGTTATTACAGCCGGAAGCTGTAAAGACAGTCATTATCGTCAGTGTTTCATCTTTCCGACGTTCATTAAACACACCATCTGTGATGGTTTTGTGAAAAAAAGAAAAGAATCTAAGCTTAAAATTGTGATATTTCATCAAAATCATGTTATTCTACATGTCTCATTTAAAATCTCGCCACAAGTAAACCTTTTGCTTTAATCAGATGCTGTAAAAAACATTAAATTCTGAGCTGCTCAGCGCAACTATGAAGCCATGATTGATTCATCTGAGACCAACAGTCACATGACAACAATTTTGTGAAACTTTGACTGAACTGAGCAGAGAGGAGAGCTCTCTCTATATATATATATATATATATATATATATATATATATATATATATATGAGCCTTCCAACATTGGCAACTCTTGTGGCAACCTGCAGACATGTTGTAGATTCCAATGTTGTCAAATTATTGTAAAATAACAAATTTAACTTTCTTTTTTATGATTTATGGCGTTGTAACTGTGTTAACCTGGACAAAACCCATTTCTCTCTAGTTCTAGCCATGCGTGTGCTGTTTCCATAGAGGTGCTGCTTCTATGTTGCAGTGAAAGTCGAGGACACAGAGTAGAATGTGACAGGAGCGGGAATGCCCCGAAGCTGCGTGGGGTTCACAGGGTTAAAATTGCGATCCCACCCAAAAGTTGCTCCTCTGACAGGAGGATGGGACTTCCAACTTCATAAAGAACAAGATACATAGAGCTGGAAAGAATAGATTCTGATTTGTCTTCCTTTTTGAACTTGTTGAGAGTCTAAGTAGAGTTTGGGTTGCTGGTTTTAGTCGAAGGCACACTTAAAGATGCAGGGTTGTTGCAATTTGAACTTTGCTGTGAACGCCGTCTGCTGAGCAGACTTCTTTATGAACCGTTTGTTTAAAGGCAAGTTTATTTCTATAGCGCCCAGGGTCCAGAATGAGCACTCTTCAGTCGCCGAATGAGAGTAAATTACGGAGGCTGCCCGTCGCTCTGGCCGGCAGAAAGAAATTAATTTTCTACATGTGTGAGATAAAAAGCTGCTGGATTGCTGCCGCTTCAATCTGCTAGAGGAAGGACTGATGCTATCTGATGTCTGTGTCCCTTATTCTTTATGAACTGCACGAAACATTCAGTAATCCTAAATGCACTGAAAGGCTAATGGCACTTTTTTGAATTTGACAGTTAAAATACTATTTCTGCGTACATAATAATAATAATAATAATAATAATAGTAGTACACAATACAAGGTGTAATCAGACTTTCACAATGCAGTTAAAAGAATTCACAATAACGACGATGTCTAACATGGTTTATTGTGTTTTATTCTTGTGTTGGCAAATGAATGACGCTCTGAAATCTTTCAAACAATTCAAAGTGCCGCACGAAGACGTGCATTGGAATGACATTTAAATCTATTCAAATAGAATACAATTAGACGAAGTAATAAATAAAAATAAATAATGCACCACAAATATAGTTACAGTGCCGTAATAAGCTGCTGCAAAAGCATTCCCCATGCAGGTTAGGATCATTTGAGACTTTTAAGTTACCTGCAAATATGGTTGCATGTCTATAGGTCTATATGCATGTCTATAGGACGGTCCCAGTTCTGAATGACTTGGCGAGTGATGCATACATAAGGCTCGCACTGTATGCCCCTGAGTCCTGACACTACCTAGTGAAGGTGCAACTTGGACTTTGTGCCTTTCGTCTCAGGGAGTTCCCCCGGCTGGGAGAGCAGCTGTGGCTGCGTGACGCTACATTTAGCACAGGTGGGCTGTGACCAGTACCACGCAGCACTGCCACACGTTGCCATAGCTGCGGGTTATTTCGTGGCTCTTCAGCCCGGCAGCATGTGCGTCGTTTTCGCATCTCGCTTCCCCTCCTCGCGTTACGTGACCACACTGTTGCAGTCTCAGCTGCCATGTGCACTTTTTGTGCACATGGCAGCTGGATGTGGAACGGAGATGCATCGTGTTTTGCGGCGTAGCGGAACGTTCCGTAGACCACATCAGGAAGTGGTCTGGGTGACCACACTGTTTTGGCTGCAGTCCCAAGAGGAACAATAGGATCTGTTGGGCTTATTTGTTGCTGTGTGCGTGTCCTCGCCTCCCTGACGGGTTCATCTGGGGTTTAAGGTTGTGGCTTATAAAGTGAGGTTTACGGCCTGCGCCCAGCAAACGATAAAGCTTCTGTCTGCCACTGAACAAACAAAAGTGATCACGGTGTTCCTCTCTGAGAAGATGCTTCATTTAGTATAATGTCTCCCACGTTGTTTTAACATTCACCTATATTTTGATTGATGTCAATGCAAAAATCTATTTTCTTCGTTACAATTTTCACATTTAATTTTCATTTAGATGTAATGCATCACCTGTCTTTTAAGAAATCATTCAAAATGTCTTTTATGAATATGGAAAGCATGTCATTGTTCAGTATTGAATTAGTAATGGAAGCCACATATGCAGAATATTTCATGACATCTCGCAGATAGAATAATGATTTTAATAACAGTGATCCTAAAGTACGATGCATTAAAGACGCGGTGGAACAGAGAGCTTCCCACTTATTGCCGTGTCTGGTGTTTTCATTTGTTTTTTTTGTAGGAAGTGAAGAAGGAATCCAAAGAGGTCAAGGAAACCAAGAGCGAGCCTAAAGAGGAGGCGTCTCAGCCTCTGAGGAGAGAGAAGAGCGCGGGGAACGTGGCCAACCTGGTCCAGAGGATGAGCACCATCGGCATCCCGACCGGCGGCTTCCTGCCTCAGCCGCCGGCTGCTTCCAAGAGTAAGACGCTCTGCTTATTTTATTCACTTATTTATATATTTTATTATCTTATCTTATATTATCTTGCGTTCATGTTTTATTTTCTGAAGCACTTTGTAACTTTGTTTCGGAAAGGTGCTATATCAATAAAGTTATTGAAAGCTAATCGCTTAGCTAGTTGTTCAGCTGTGAATGTATTTGAACTTACTTGAAATTATTACGGCAATATTGATTGTTTTCTTAATGAATTGTCTTTTTTTCCTAACGATATAATAAAAAAGAACCGATGAGTGTGGATAAGAGTACTAGTATCAATGAAGTCCAAATGACACCCGTCCCTAGTTAGCGTGGAGTATAGGACGAGTGTGTTGACATGGTCAACACTTCCTGCTGCATACTGCTTCACCTGAGCTCATGTGTTGGTGATGGTTGTTTGCATGCTCTGCGTTGGAGTGATGTGCAGTATTAATACTGCCAGTGAAAGCATGAAATACTACACTTCCTATTTGTGTTTAATACAAATCCCTGTACGGTCTACGTTTTCCTTCCCCCAATACATTTTCGTTATTTCAGCTCCCCTACACCACGGGACAGCTGGTGCAGAGCTCCTCCTGCACCAGCTGTCACTCTGCACGGTGTGCTCTTTACACGGGACGTGATGTGAATAAACACGAGAAATGTTGCTTCTTGATTACATTGAAGATAAAGTAATGCGGGACATTTCCTTACGTCTTATTGTTGAGCCTATCCGGACTGTATGCCGGCTACACCTCCTGTTTCTCACGCTCAGAGGAGCGAAGGAAAAAGTCCCCGCGCTATCTTCTGCATCTGCACCGTTTGTGAGTCTTCACTGCTCTCGTTGCACCTCGTCATGCACATTAAACCTAATCTACTTGTATTCTTACCACATGTCAGTCGATCAGGGAATGTAAATGAACAAAGTTGTCCTGTAAGTGTGGGGACCAGCTTTGTGCCAGCCGTCCTCAGTCTGGACTTGAAGCTCTGCTGGATGCTGTCCCTTCACGTTCACGTCAGCGCCGTTCCTTCTCCGCTCGCTCCGTTTCCCCCGTGTGCAGCTCTGCTTGTTCAGCAGGGTGTGTGCCTGCCGCCTCCCACTCCCTGGATTTACACCTCGCTTGCTGTCTCACCCGTTTCAGCTCTCACGCCAACCTACCCCCCCCCCCCTTTTCTAGAGGAGACAGACATGCCCGTGGCTCACACACACACACACACACACACACACACACACACACATGCGCGCACACCCAAGCGCTTCTCCACGTTTGACAAAACACAGACTGGCACGAGCTCACAACAGGTTGGGTGACTAACTGGTGTTTTTTTTTTTTTTTTTTTCTTGTCTTCTGACCCGCCCTCCACAGAGCCCAAGAGGAGACAGTGCAAGGTCCTGTTCGACTATCAGCCGCAGAACGAGGACGAGCTGGAGCTGAAAATCGGAGAGATCGTAGACGTCATCGAAGAGGTACTTTTAGATGCGTGCATCAACGCGATAGACTTTTAATGAAGTTCTGTCATGAGCGGCTGAGTAAAGCAGGCGTTTCCTGGATCATCCACATGGGCCCTTTTTAACGGCCAACCTGTTTTTGGGCGTTAAGGATAAACAAGACAGCGGGGCTCAGTTCTTTTTATGTGTAATTTGAGTTGCTTTGTGTGTAATATTACAACCACTAAAACAAATAACTGTTAACTGGTTATTTGTGGTGCTGGCAAGTCAGAACAGGTAAGAGACGGGAGAGACGTTCTCATAAGGAGGTAGATGTGTGCGCTGTGGCGACGAACATTAAACGCATAATGTGTGTATTACAATGTACAAGTTGGTCGTTAACATGTCAATTTATACTTCTTATTGCAACAAATTAAAATTGTTCTTAATAAAAATGTTATCATCTTCGTGTTGATCATATATCTATGGAACCAGTGGAACCGTTGAGCTTCCTGAAAGCCACAAGAGTTTTGTGGACTAAACGATTGTGAAATGTGGGTTTCATCACGCTCGTAACGGGAATGTTCACAGCTGAGAACTAGATCTGAGAGAAAAATGGCGCATCACACGCACACACGCACACTACAGGCTATTCTTAAGATTGTCGTGCCAAAAACAACGCACGTAATCTCTCTCTGGGGATCTCATGGGGAAGCCGATGTGAACAAGACGGGGACTGATGTGGGGATACGACTCGCTGTAGTGATGCTTTGCAGTGAGAACCCCCCCCCCCCCCCGAAAAGGTAGACAGTCTTGATGAGACACAGTTGGGGAGACGCGACCATTATGAAGAACTGGAGGTTTTAATATCAGTCAACTGTAGTGTGTTAGCATCCGTGGCTAGGATGCTTACAAGTCGCTCGGAAACACAGTCGGCTGCTCCGGCTCGTGTCTCTCGTTGCCATAGTGTAGCTTGGAAAATGCAGACATAATCATCCAGCATTGAACTCCTAAATGTGAAACACGGTCGACACATATATGACATATTAGATGAGTCTGGCAACAGTTCTGGAGGTTTAAGACTGGATCTGTAAACACCTAACGACCTGATATCCCCTTCGTCTGTCGAGAGTTAGTCGGGGTTAAGTCAGCCATGTTGTTTTTGCATTTTAAAGTACAGAAAAACCCAAATTGCATTACTATGTCAGGTTGTTTAAATCTTCTACTGTCGTCCCCGCGCAGGTTGAGGAGGGCTGGTGGAACGGCAGCTTCAACAGCAAGTCAGGATTGTTTCCCTCCAACTTCGTCAAAGAGCTGGACACCACGGGAGAGGACGGAGACGCCAACGACGCGGCTGCGGACGAGACCGGTAAGACGGGAAAAGCGGCAAACAAGCGGCGCGCCC